TAGAATATACTACAGCTATAATACATTATAAGAACTTTTTTAATCGAGCAGCTGTCAGTAAAATAGTTTGTTTTCACATAGACGACAAGCTTTATCAATACACCAATCTATATTTCTCCACAATTATTATTTCTTGATCTTTCGATATGTTGTTCTATCATTTTTATCTGATCATTATAATACAGGTACAGATGCACGTATAGGTTCAGGTGTAAGATACAGGTATAAGTCCAGGTGTAGATAGAGGTATGGGTACACAGATGTAGGTACAGATATAGGTGCATGTATACGTACAAATATAGGTACAGGTGCAGCTATAGGTACAGGTACAGCTCTATAGGTATTCGAAACCTGAGACGCACAGAACTAAAGTACACGCGAACGAAACAGAAAAAGGCCGAGGTGTGGGATCGAGTTCCGAGTAAGATACGGGGAAAAGTACGAGACCTGCTTCGTACGAGTTATACCGTCTGTTCGGCACTGGACAATCTTGGCAGTACTGGTACTAGAATCGAGCTGGGAGCCTAGATTCGTAGAAGAAAACGGTACCCTGGAAAATCAAATAGGAGCGTTCGGTACAGAGAGACTACCGTTCCCCGTTCCCACTTCCCTTTCTAATACCAGCAGTTCTCAACATTGCGGGTCGGCCGTTGCGCGTCGCGCCGTACGTGGATACATACAACGTACGTAGACGCCTCGAAAAATCCTAGATTCCACTTACCTACGGTGCTTTCGAGACCAAGCACTTTATACGTGTACTTTGATTTCAGATCGGGCAACCTACCACCGCTACGATTTAACGAACCAGTTACAACTACTGTTCTCAGTTAGAATTCATTCTTTCCTAGTTCTTACCTACATACGGATATCTACGAGGAAAGTTTCGATCATAAATACGATGCGTCATTTTTTCTTCCTCTTCGCAACTGTGCCGTTGTATCAGTGAACCGTGTTTCCTGTTTGCACGGTCAGGAAATATTTTAGGAAACTTTTATCTGGAATGTTTTGCAAAATCAGATCGTAATATCAACATCGCGGAAACATGTTCGTTTCCGCTATTATTAGTTCTTTGGTAAGTATGATACACAACATCGTTGACATAATTTAATACTAGAATATCATAATAGTAACTGACAATATCATCGAGATATGCACTGGTAATAGTGGAAAAATCAGGCAGTCGTTTTCAATCGTAATTTGCTTTGCAAAAATGATCAATTAATCTTTCTTATTGTTCAATTGTCCATTGTCGACGGATCACCAGGAGATAATATACAGATTTCTACGAAAAACATTTTTTTAATTTTCGTTATAGGCTCAAATAAAAAAAGTTGAAAAACGAGAGTTTTTTATTTTTTTTTTTGCCATTCCAAGTAATAGCAAAATTTAAAAAAAAAATCATTTCAGTCATCGTCTAGTCGTCTAGTCTCTCTATCATCTAAAAAAAAAATCGAGTCGTTTAGCTCAGTTTTAAAATAGTTGTTGCGTTTTAAAAGGTGTACGAACACTTTTGTGGGCCACTGTATCTATGATAAGCCGGCAAAATATATTTGGTAAACGATTGAGGAATTAAGTGACGGGGAACGTTTAAAAATATTACCAAAAAATTAAGAAAATCGCAGGTCAACTTATTTGCCTACGCAGTAAATTCTCTCCAATTGTCCCTCAGCTTGTAAACAAAAATAAACAATTTACGATTGTTCGAGCCTAGCGGCTCGTTTTTATAGTCGCCATTTATTGTCAACAACTATTAAAACGAGCTGCGAGGATCGTAACTTCGACGACGACGTAAGGATCGAATAATCGTAACTTCTCTTCTCAAATTGTCCATTTTTCTTTACAAACTGAGAGACAATTTGCTGCATGCACATATGGGTCTAACTCAAAACTTTCTCTTATCGTAGAACCCAGATCTAAAGTAGGTGCAAATCGACGGTTTTACAACGAATTGGTACGATCAAATTTCTACTCCCCACCCTTCGTCTCATACCGAGAACGTTAGACAAAATAAAGCAAGATAAGTCTGTACGCATCATCGCGGTGCCAGACTGGCCAAACCAAGAATGGTACCTTTTACTTCCAAAGATGGCAGTAGGGGACCCGATAATCTTTGAACCGAACGTTAACCTTCTACTATCGCTATGCAGGAGGAGAATGCACCCACAATCGAGCTGGTTACATTTGATGGCGACCAGAGTATCAGGGAGGCATTCCTAAGAAAGGAGGTGCCTATAGAAGCAATCGACTTGTTACTAGCGTCCTTGACGGAAAATACAAGAAAGCGATACAGGTCGACTCTACGGAGCTAGTGATAATTCCGGAAGATGAATAGACTTTATTTTCACTTCCCTTCGACAGCCATATTACTCACGTGGCTGACGGAAAACTCCACACGAGGAGCATCTCATGGTGTCTTGTGCATAGTAATCGGCTGTATCGCTTATGTCGCAGACGGAAATAGACAAGAGAGGCCTAATATCAAGATTTATGAAGGACATATTGAAATTAGGGCCATCAAAGCCGAAATACACAACCAGACGACATGTGGCCAAGGTTCTAGAGCTATTTCAGTCGACAAACTTATGGAAATTAACAGAAGAAACAAAATGGCCCATAGAACTCAGACATTAGCCGCTATAATGATTGAAAATGTTTCTCTCTGATCCAAGAAGAATACGAATAAAAATTCTCCACGCCATCAAAATGACTAATCCAGGACGTTCTCGACCATTACGCATGCGATTAACGCGCACTACTGATATATTTTAAAAAGAATTTCAAAATATGTATAGTATCTACATTAGAGGACTACATGGGAATTATTAAGTTCAAAAGAGGAGAAAATAAATACACATGTTTACAGCAATCAAAAGCCCCCACAAACCAGTCGATTCTCAGACCAGAGCAGTAGATGGATAAAGAATGTACATATTGCGTTAGAGTGGCATTGATCCGTCCGTCTTTTCAGTACATTCAACTGGACATGCTAGCACATCAGCCGCATTACTTAGAGGGTAGACTTATGTTAGCCATAATTAAACGAACATTCTATGTATAACAGGTCAATATTACCCGATAAGTATAATTTTGTAAAAGCGATATTGCAGAACCAAACTTGTTATTAGAGAGCAATCCGACATTCAAAATCAGAGACGTAGAATCATTATTGCTAGCGTCATCAAATGATAACTAACACGATTTAATTGAAACGATATTAAAGATTGACCTGTTCTCATTCTAAGTAAGCATTATTTCGAGTATTAACTCGCCTACGACAGACTTTCTTTACAATTACAAAGCTCATTACCATACACAACATTATTTATCAATTTTTATCTCGGTAATTTTTATTACGCTATATATTAATTTTTGTCGCTTTTAACGTAACAACTGTTATTTAATATAATCGTTAAAAATTGTGTCATTAAAAAATTATTTCCAATGAAGGGTTAATATGGCTGCTTCTACCAATACAATCAGTACCCTTGTTTCATTAATGATATAATTTGTAGTTGAAGGTCCCATCTTTTTCCGTTCATATGAAGCGACTAATCGGTAGCTACACGGAACTTTTAATAAATTAACTTTTTTAATAGCGCAACTCTCGAATAAGACTTTCTCTGAGAAACACCCTTAAAGAATAGTGTATGAACGATCGGAGAGCCTCGCCTAATCACTCATCTAATCCCCGGACATCTATGTAATTTCGCAGTCAGAACTCAGAACTCACAGTCAAAAGGATTGGTTTGTAAAAATTGATCGTCTAACTTATATATATATATATTGCATAGAACGCTTTAATTCCGTTTGAAACGAGTTATTCAATTCCGTTTTCAAAAATTATATTTATTTCGTTAGTTCAGATTCGTTTTACACTTTTGCACGAGCATCATTCGCGATTTGCCTCGACCATTCTTTACTTCCCAATTAACATTTTTAAGACAAGAATGCAATAGCACTGTAACACATTAAATTGGAATACATTGTGTTTAATAAAATGTAGTCAATATAATTTCTCAATGAACTTGTCAAAATTGTCAAAATGTCGGAACATAATATTCTCCGAAAAATTCATTGACATTAGTAGTCAATATAATGTCTCAATGAACTTGTCAAAATTGTCAAATTGTCGGAACATAATATTTTCCGAAAAATTTATTGACATTAATTCACGATAGTTTTAAAGATTTCTTAACGTGAGGTAGAAAAGTTTCGATTTTTCTTTAAATGTGATTCATCGTCATTCGTGTTTTTAAAATAAAGGCGGCCACGACCGCGACGCAAGTATCTTGACGCCTCTGGACAATTCCCGTAATTAAGGGGTTAAGAAGAATCCATTTCATATGATGACATAATTTTAGTAGGAAGCATTCGAATACGATTTCTCCGTGAGTATTTTGGATGATAGAATTCCTTTTTATAGTACGTACTTACAGGGATTCCGCGATTCTTTTTCTCGTAGTGCACGTTTCATATTTTGTTTTCTTCTACGCGCAAACTTTCACTTTGGAGATATTATTATTTCATGCATTTAACACTAGTTCTTCTCATTTGCAATCATTTCTAGTTTTCTTGTTTGCACTGTAAATATGATTTTCTTTAATGTACGTTTCTATTATTAATAATATTTAAATAACATATGGAAACGAGCTAGCAATTTAAATACAGCTTAAGCAAAACGTATTAAACGATATGTAGCTCGCTGCTTCTGTACCTCAGAAAAATGAAATATACAATATAATTTCGATCATTTTATTTGATACAAAATGAGTAATAGTACAAAGAGATTCATCAAAATAGAAAACAAAAAGAAATCGCAGAAGAGAATGTGTATACGAGTGTAGTCGTATTTTTGAAATTTTGTGGACTTAAGTTGTTCTTCTTAACGCGTACATTAAATTTTATTATATTACAATACGTTGGATTGCTTTCTTAAACCTACAATATTGGTGATATGTTTTTTTTTCTAATAAATATATTAATCTTATATTGTACAATTAATGCATAAATTTGTAATTCTCATTTAAAGACAGTATAGCTTATTCTTATTCCAACAATTTGCTAGAAATAAATAAAAGAAATTTGCTTAGTATAAAGGGTACTATAGTTTTAACAATAATCATCAAATCATAAATATATATGTCGATTTTCCTGTAGAATGTGATGTACAAATGTGCACGCTTCGATTGTACAAGTATATACTCGTATACCTTTCCCTTGCGTTGCGATACTTTATTACATAGTTGTACAGTTATAGTGATGGGTATTCAAAGTGTTCGAACACACACAACGAATTTACATTGTTGGGAACAAAATGTTTGAACCGTCACGAACAGAAGCCTATTTTGTTCGGCTCGAACGTCAAGTTTCGAAGGTTAAGCATTATTTATCAAACATCAAACTAGAGATTCCTCTCGTTGTCAGTTCTGAACTTATAATGTTCAAACTATTGCTGCTACCACAGTTATGGTCCGTCCTGGTCAGGGTCGTAAGTTGTAAGCGCAACAGCGTTCTCTAACCTAGCGTAACTCGCAAACCAACAATTCGTGTCTCCTTTCACTTGTTCGAACACCAATTCCGTCTAATTCACCACGATTAGTCGTGTAATTTAAAAGAATTTTATTGACACTCTAATTGAATAAAGTAATTATGAAGCAACTGATTTCATAGTACATAATCATATTTAAGTTTAATGACGCGACTTCATTTATTAATGAACTTCACTTATGTGAAAACATGTAACATAGTTAGTAATGATAACAACGACACAATATTGTATCCGTAATTTTTCAAAGATTCCGTATAATTTACTGAAATATGATTATATCGTAGAAAGTTAAAAGTATAAACAAACTGAACGATGACAGAGGAAAAAAGAAAATAAATAAAGAAAGCAACATAGTTCTGTATTCAAATCACGCAATAAATTATAAAACAGAATATCATGAAAAATGTATCAACAAACTACAAGACGTTGCAAATGGCACATAACTCATATCAAAAGAGGATTTCTGGTGCAATGCACTTACGAACTCACAAGCATTGTTGACTGATTAACTTTATGGTAAACTCACCACTGTCAGTAACAGCCGTGTATTCAGATACCATGAACGAAAAACTTTATATCGAAAAAAAGCTGTTTTTCATAATTCAAACAATGATATTTATTGTCGCAAAAAATGCAACTTGTAGAATACGTACTTTTAAGTATTGTGTCACAATGATATTTTGAATGTAGTACTGATAATTTAAATTTGAGAATTATTTAAAATGTAAAACGCTAGTTATAAAAATACTACTGTTGTAAAAATCTTCATTAATTTATATTTATATGTTACGAAAAGTGTGAAGTAACGTAACTTCGCTAAACACAATAAGTAACGCGAAGAGGAAGCAGTTTAAACTAACCACGTGTAAGTGACATATGTACAGAGGTCACAATATGTATATCAGTAAACATGCAACACATGTACTTGTGTACTTTATCATTTTTATTACCTCTAAATTCGCCTTCTGCCCAAGTAAAATCCACAAAGCATGAGAAAAGTACTGCACTAAACTTCACTACAGTTGATAAATTACCCATTTTGAGTCGACATAATTCCTATGTCGATTTAAAGGTCACAAAACTTCATGAAAACTCAACTGTCATTTGATCACTTAGCAACACATCTTACTACAACATCAGTCGGTAGCATACTGAACTGAAGTAACCAAATCTAGTAGAAAGTGGGAAGACTTTCCCATTCCCATTCCCCAGTCCCCATTCTACATTCATCGTCCGGTAATGGAAAGATTAAAGCCATTGATATATTAGGAATAAGACTCACAACATTGTACGCCTTTCTTTGAATTTCAAGATGGCGCGTTGAGCGCGATATATGATTTTAATAAATTGTCAGATGCTGACATTATTAACAAATAAACACGTCCAAATGAACAAAAAGATTTGTGTTTCTGACGTATAAGTAAATACATAAATTCAATTATTTTTAAATACAGCAAAATATAGTGCAATACTATCGAGAAGTTACTTACTGTAAAGAAATAAGTTTTGTTCCATGAATTATATTTAAATAAATGTATTCACAAAGGTCTGTTTAATTACGCATTCTAACAAGACAAAAATATGGATGTCGAGAAAAATAAATATATTTATACATATGTATAGAATGTACTCTATATATACATATAAAAGTTTGTCACGCAATCGAAATTTGCATATTTTCTATATATAATCTCGTAACTATTAATTAAAAAAATCTGAGTTGTTATGAAATTGTAGTAATGCGATTATATTTAAACAAGTTTGTGAAAACTTTTAAGAGTTTGTACAATTATATAGAATTTAAAGGGCTATGTCGAAACTGTCTTTTACTCCGACTTATGANTATATATACATATAAAAGTTTGTCACGCAATCGAAATTTGAATATTTTCTATACATAATCTCGTAACTATTAATTAAAAAAATCTGAGTTGTTATGAAATTGTAGTAATGCGATTATATTTAAACAAGTTTGTGAAAACTTTTAAGAGTTTGTACAATTATATAGAATTTAAAGGGCTATGTCGAAACTGTCTTTTACTCCGACTTATGACATCATATTTTATTATTCATTATATTTATATTACACAAATATGT